GAGGTGCAAATATTTATGATACAGTATATTCATTATTTTTGTTGAGAATTTAAAATGAAACAATACTGTGACCATTTTAATGCACACTTTTTATTTGGCAAGTTCAAAGCTAGCAAAAAACAACAGTAAAAAAGTTTTTTACAAAGTATTTTGTACTAGATTAATACAGTATTTTTCCCTGGCATTAAACTTTTTCAATCTACTTTGCAACCATGGCTGTTTGTTCGAAAGGGTGGCACCTCTTATTACAAAATAAAAACTAGTAAAATTATCAAAATGCCAAAACATACAGTAGACATAATATATTTGAATCATACTAAATTCCTTGGTGACTTCATTTCTACAAAGATGATTAGGACATGAGGTCAAGTCTGTGAGGATGAAAACATGAAATCACCTTGCATCTGCCAGCATTGCCCTGACAACTGCCCATGCTGCAACAAAAAGAGCAGGAACACCTGAAATGAAACAAAGTAGGAAAAGTATATTTCAATCAACAGTTAGTAAACATTGTACTATAAGTGAAACTGATGATAAATCTTGTGGTAATTTTATTATTTAAATGATATGAACTCTGAAGAAAAATATGATGCTGGTGACCATGTTGCAAATTTACATCTAAAGAGAGTAAACTGAATTTGTAAAGTAATCAGAGAATCCAAACTTGAATGACGTTGCATTCCTTAATATTATGTGGACTATTCTAACAAGAATGCATACGATTTTATTTCCTAATTTAGAATGCATTCCAGTAAACCACAATAAATGGCAAGAACAAAAGCTAACATCATGTACATGGATGTTAAAATGTCTTGGGACATTTTAGGGAGGCACTGAAGCATGATTAAGCTTCAACGACTCCCCAGGGGTTCAAGAGCACCAGTGGAGACTTGCACTCATAGATGGATATCCTACAGCGTAATCCATAAAATACTGCTTGTTTACTTATTGACAATGGAGTGTTTTTCACTCCAAACACTGAACAGGAAGCACATCTCTTCTGTCTGGTACAGTTGAAACGTGATTGAATATTTCAGTTCTGGCAAAACGTCTAAATAATTGTTTTATTTATTAATATATTTTTTTTAACTTTGAATAGTTGCCTTCAATTCACAATCAGCCATTCATATAAAGCCACAATCTGTCTGTTCGTATAAAGTTTCCATATACCCTTCATTACAAATAGAATCAAGTTCAAATCTGCTGGTGACTACAGGACTACTGTCAGTAATATGTATGTAATATATCATTTAATAGTTTGACAGATAGATGAAAAGACCAAAAGACAGACATTAGGATGCTGAAATGCAAACCATAAAAATACAAAAATTCAACTTTGGAGTATTTCTCTGCTTTTGGAAAACCCCTAATGATGGTATTATTCAACAAATTTTAATAAGAACTTATTTTATCATGCATATTTAATCTTGACTCAGCCACTAAACAAAAAAAAAAACGCTGCTTTCTACTGATGAGATGCATGGTTTAACCTCAGAAAAACCAAGATCATATCATACAAATTTTAATAAGAACTTATTTTATCATGCATATTTAATCTTGACTCAGCCACTAAACAAAAAAAAAACGCTGCTTTCTACTGATGAGATGCATGGTTTAACCTCAGAAAAACCAAGATCACATCATGCATATCAAGAAACCAAACTGCCTGGATCCGAGGGTGAGCATGTCAATCGAGGGTGCCCTCCTCTCAGACAGCAGTTCCCATGGCGATGATGGGGTAACTGTGGGAGCCTAGGATTATCTCTCTGAAATAATGTGTGCCTTGACTCATACTACATTATTCTCTTCGTGATACCACTGAAGGAATGGAGCTCATTTCATGTGCTTTAACAGGCACACATGCTGTTTTAAATCTGCTAGCATGACAATCTACTTATCATTAAGACATTTTCTGTAAATCAGGAAAAAAGTAGGTGAGAAGTCAGTCTCACATACTGTCAGTCTCAAGTGTATTTCCCACTGTCACAGCATTTGTACTTTCATCTACTCTTAAAGGTTGTCACGGCTGGTTTTTTTGGTTAACGTTCATGTTTTCATGTGTTATATGTTGTCTTTTTCATAGTTATGGTTCCTGTCATGTGTTTCCCTTGCCCTTATGCAATCCTGCTATTGGCTGTCTTGCTCATGTGTCTTGTTCTTATTGGTTGATTTGGTCATGTGGTTCTTAGTTCTGTTTTGTGATTGGGTCATTGTCTTGAGTGTTCACAGGTGTTCCTTGTTTAGTCATATAGTCTTGTGTATAAATAGCCATCATGTTGCCATTGTCTTTTGTCTAGTGTCATGGTCATGTCATTGCCAGTGTCGTGTCAGTGTCGTGTCAGTGTCGTGTCAGTGTCGTGTCGTGTCGTGTCGTGTCGTGTCGTGTCGTTTCGTGTCGTTTCGTGAAAGGTTGTCACGGCTGGTTTTTTTGGTTAACGTTCATGTTTTCATGTGTTATATGTTGTCTTTTTCATAGTTATGGTTCCTGTCATGTGTTTCCCTTGCCCTTATGTAATCCTGCTATTGGTTGTCTTGCTCATGTGTCTTGTTCTTATTGGTTGATTTGGTCATGTGGTTCTTAGTTCTGTTTTGTGATTGGGTCATTGTCTTGAGTGTTCACAGGTGTTCCTTGTTTAGTCATATAGTCTTGTGTATAAATAGCCATCATGTTGCCATTGTCTTTTGTCTAGTGTCATGGTCATGTCAGTGTCAGTGTCAGTGTCAGTGTCGTGTCGTGTCGGTAATAAACTGCACTTGGGTTCACTTCAACTTGCCTCAGTGGATCTTTACAGAAAGCTAGACCAACAATGAACCCAGCAGTTACTCTACTTAGGTCCAGGGGAATCGTTCCCTTGAGGACTACATGGCAGACTTTTGTGAATTGAGTAATGTCGTGGAATTTATGATGTGGTTTTAAAGGACATTTTTCGTTGTGGACTTAATGATTCTCTTAATTATCTCATGCCTTGCCATACACCTCACTGGTCCCTGGCTCAATATATTGACTTTGCACTCCGGTTGGTTCCTCATTTACTGTAGGAATTGCGGATGAGGAATCCTGCAATTCTACATTACCCACCACACCAGAGTGTTCCCACGCCCCGACTGTCATGTCAGAATTTATTCATGCCATGACCCCCATGCCAGAGCCTGCTCACATCATGCCTGCTGAGCCAAAGCCTTTTCACATCATACCCACCAAGCCAAAGTCTTTTCACGTCATGGCGTCACGCTCGAGTCTTCAGCCAAAATGGCCACCACACCAGAGCCTCGTCATGTCATGGCTGCCACGCCAGAGTCTACAGCCAAGATGGATTTTTTCGGGGGGAGGCGGGGTTGGGGGGCTGTAGTACCCAAGTTCCAGTGGATGCAGAGCTTGGGCCTAGACAGATAAAACTAATGACCAGTGTTATGGATCCACCAATGACGTCAGTGCGAGCGGCTGACATCCCGGTGGAATCGGCGTTCTCAAACCCCGCGGCCCCTGACCCCTGTCAATCGATTAAAAAAAATTTACTAATTGCACATTTTTTCTGAAATTAATCATAATTAATCCCACCTAACATTAAAGTTTTTAAATATACTTTTATATTGCAATAATTTCACATTCAATATTCAAATTAATGTAGAAACAACATAAAGACAATATATTTTTAATATTTGTTTAATGGCATCTATTTTTATGACTGAAGGCAAGTATCACTGATACCCATACTACTGATGTCTCTAGGATTTTTTTTTTCTAATATTTAACCATTGACTATAGCCATTTAACATTACAGTATCATTGAGAGCAATCAAATTTAACATTTATTAGACTTTAAAAAATAACAACTTCTAATTTAAGTGAACATAAAAAAATCTTCACGTAAACCAGTGTTCTGCTGGGAAACCTTGGGTCCTGCCATCCATGTGGGTATTACTTACCACCTACCTAAGCATTGTGACACGTACCACCTACCAAAGCATTGTTGCAGACCATGTACACCCTTTCATGATGGAAACATGCACTGCACACCGTCACACAACTCCAACCTCTTCATTAAGTTTGCGGATGACACGACTGTAGTGGGTCTCATTAGCAACAGAGATGAGACAAACTATAGGAGCGAGGTGAGCCGCCTGGCCGGGTGGTGCAGTGACAACAATCTCTCTCTGAATGTGGAGAAGACGAAGGAGATTGTTGTTGACTTCAGGAGAGTGCGCACTCAGCATGCTCCTCTGTCCGTCAATGGACCATCTGTTTATGTTCTCCCCACAGAAGCAGCAAGATGTTGCTTGAAGACATTTGCTTTTGTAACATCACTAACAGCCTGTAAGCTGCAAGAATACTAATTGTGCTCTCGAGGGGAGTAAGACAATGACATTCAGCAAGTGTTTGAAAATAAAACAGAGAAAAGATAACGCCTTGGGCATGGTCCTACATCAGTGTACATGAAAACACTACTTCGTTAAGATGATCTGGTGATAACACTGCAGTGGTGTTTTAGCATAAGAACACAAACATTTACAGATCCAAGACAAACATTAACTGATCTAACTAGTTTCAAACTAGCACTAGCTCTGCGTCGTCACATTATCAATGAGGACTAAGACTTGAACTATAGGGAGGTGCAAATATTTATGATATATTCATTATTTTTGTTGAGAATTTAAAATGAAACAATACTGTGACCATTTTAATGCACACTTTTTATTTGGCAAGTTCAAAGCTAGCAAAAAACAACAGTAAAAAAGTTTTTTACAAAGTATTTTGTACTAGATTAATACAGTATTTTTCCCTGGCATTAAACTTTTTCAATCTACTTTGCAACCATGGCTGTTTGTTCGAAAGGGTGGCACCTCTTATTACAAAATAAAAACTAGTAAAATTATCAAAATGCCAAAACATACAGTAGACATAATATATTTGAATCATACTAAATTCCTTGGTGACTTCATTTCTACAAAGATGATTAGGACATGAGGTCAAGTCTGTGAGGATGAAAACATGAAATCACCTTGCATCTGCCAGCATTGCCCTGACAACTGCCCATGCTGCAACAAAAAGAGCAGGAACACCTGAAATGAAACAAAGTAGGAAAAGTATATTTCAATCAACAGTTAGTAAACATTGTACTATAAGTGAAACTGATGATAAATCTTGTGGTAATTTTATTATTTAAATTATATGAACTCTGAAGAAAAATATGATGCTGGTGACCATGTTGCAAATTTACATCTAAAGAGAGTAAACTGAATTTGTAAAGTAATCAGAGAATCCAAACTTTAATGACATTGCATTCCTTAATATTATGTGGACTATTCTAACAAGAATGCATACGATTTTATTTCCTAATTTAGAATGCATTCCAGTAAACCACAATAAATGGCAAGAACAAAAGCTAACATCATGTACATGGATGTTAAAATGTCTTGGGACATTTTAGGGAGGCACTGAAGCATGATTAAGCTTCAACGACTCCCCAGGGGTTCAAGAGCACCAGTGGAGACTTGCACTCATAGATGGATATCCTACAGCGTAATCCATAAAATACTGCTTGTTTACTTATTGACAATGGAGTGTTTTTCACTCCAAACACTGAACAGGAAGCACATCTCTTCTGTCTGGTACAGTTGAAACGTGATTGAATATTTCAGTTCTGGCAAAACGTCTAAATAATTGTTTTATTTATTAATATATTTTTTTTAACTTTGAATAGTTGCCTTCAATTCACAATCAGCCATTCATATAAAGCCACAATCTGTCTGTTCGTATAAAGTTTCCATATACCCTTCATTACAAATAGAATCAAGTTCAAATCTGCTGGTGACTACAGGACTACTGTCAGTAATATGTATGTAATATATCATTTAATAGTTTGACAGATAGATGAAAAGACCAAAAGACAGACATTAGGATGCTGAAATGCAAACCATAAAAATACTAAAATTCAACTTTGGAGTATTTCTCTGCTTTTGGAAAACCCCTAATGATGGTATTATTCAACAAATTTTAATAAGAACTTATTTTATCATGCATATTTAATCTTGACTCAGCCACTAAACAAAAAAAAAAACGCTGCTTTCTACTGATGAGATGCATGGTTTAACCTCAGAAAAACCAAGATCATATCATGCATATCAAGAAACCAAACTGCCTGGATCCGAGGGTGAGCATGTCAATCGAGGGTGCCCTCCTCTCAGACAGCAGTTCCCATGGCGATGATGGGGTAACTGTGGGAGCCTAGGATTATCTCTCTGAAATAATGTGTGCCTTGACTCATACTACATTATTCTCTTCGTGATACCACTGAAGGAATGGAGCTCATTTCATGTGCTTTAACAGGCACACATGCTGTTTTAAATCTGCTAGCATGACAATCTACTTATCATTAAGACATTTTCTGTAAATCAGGAAAAAAGTAGGTGAGAAGTCAGTCTCACATACTGTCAGTCTCAAGTGTATTTCCCACTGTCACAGCATTTGTACTTTCATCTACTCTTAAAGGTTGTCACGGCTGGTTTTTTTGGTTAACGTTCATGTTTTCATGTGTTATATGTTGTCTTTTTCATAGTTATGGTTCCTGTCATGTGTTTCCCTTGCCCTTATGTAATCCTGCTATTGGTTGTCTTGCTCATGTGTCTTGTTCTTATTGGTTGATTTGGTCATGTGGTTCTTAGTTCTGTTTTGTGATTGGGTCATTGTCTTGAGTGTTCACAGGTGTTCCTTGTTTAGTCATATAGTCTTGTGTATAAATAGCCATCATGTTGCCATTGTCTTTTGTCTAGTGTCATGGTCATGTCAGTGTCAGTGTCAGTGTCAGTGTCGTGTCGTGTCGGTAATAAACTGCACTTGGGTTCACTTCAACTTGCCTCAGTGGATCTTTACAGAAAGCTAGACCAACAATGAACCCAGCAGTTACTCTACTTAGTTCCAGGGGAATCGTTCCCTTGAGGACTACATGGCAGACTTTTGTGAATTGAGTAATGTCGTGGAATTTATGATGTGGTTTTAAAGGACATTTTTCGTTGTGGACTTAATGATTCTCTTAATTATCTCATGCCTTGCCATACACCTCACTGGTCCCTGGCTCAATATATTGACTTTGCACTCCGGTTGGTTCCTCATTTACTGTAGGAATTGCGGATGAGGAATCCTGCAATTCTACATTACCCACCACACCAGAGTGTTCCCACGCCCCGACTGTCATGTCAGAATTTATTCATGCCATGACCCCCATGCCAGAGCCTGCTCACATCATGCCTGCCGAGCCAAAGCCTTTTCACATCATGCCCACCAAGCCAAAGTCTTTTCACGTCATGGCGTCACGCTCGAGTCTTCAGCCAAAATGGCCACCACACCAGAGCCTCGTCATGTCATGGCTGCCACGCCAGAGTCTACAGCCAAGATGGATTTTTTCGGGGGGAGGCGGGGTTGGGGGGCTGTAGTACCCAAGTTCCAGTGGATGCAGAGCTTGGGCCTAGACAGATAAAACTAATGACCAGTGTTATGGATCCACCAATGACGTCAGTGCGAGCGGCTGACATCCCGGTGGAATCGGCGTTCTCAAACCCTGCGGCCCCTGACCCCTGTCAATCGATTAAAAAAAATGTACTAATTGCACATTTTTTCTGAAATTAATCATAATTAATCCCACCTAACATTAAAGTTTTTAAATATACTTTTATATTGCAATAATTTCACATTCAATCTTCAAATTTATGTACAAACAACATAAAGACAGTATATTTTTTAATATTTAATGGCATCTTTTTTTATGACTGAAGGCCAGAATCAATGATACCAATACTGATTTCTGTATAAAATTGCCCCCCCACAAAATTTAACCATTGACTATTGCATTTCAGCATTACAGTATAATTGAGAGCTATCAAATTTAACATTTATTAGACTTTAAAAAATAACAACTTCTAATTTAAGTGAACATAAAAAAATCTTCACGTAAACCAGTGTTCTGCTGGGAAACCTTGGGTCCTGCCATCCATGTGGGTATTACTTACCACCTACCTAAGCATTGTGACACGTACCACCTACCTAAGCATTGTTGCAGACCATGTACACCCTTTCATGATGGAAACAGCATTCCCTGGTGGCTGTGGCCTCTTTTCACCACAAAAATGGTTCAGGAATGGTTTGAGGAGCACAAAAATGAGTTTGAGGTGTTGACTTGGCCTCCAAATTCCCCAGATCTCAATTCAATCGAGAATCTGTGGGATGTGCTGAACAAACAAGTCTGATCTATGGAGGCCCCACCTCGCAACCTACAGGACTTAAAGGTGCAATAGGTGATTGTCTTCAGAAACATTTTTTGTTGTGCTGGTTGAAAGTCTCTTCACATCCTGATAGCAATCATTAAGTTAAGTGGTCTAAATGTATTTATCTGTATTTATATATTCTGTGGAAGGC